AATGCCATTTGTAATGTATTTGCTTTGTACCCATTCAAAATGAATGATGAGTACCAACTTTCAGCTTTAAACTTACATTCAGTCATTTTTCTAGTGTTTTTGTAGCAAATCTTTGCAATCAATGTTGCCTTAAGGTCATTAGCCATTGACATTGGCTTGGTAACATTATCACTAGTAGTGCTCTTTCAACCTTCTACTGCACCAACATTGACCGTTTTTGGTTGTTTGGTGGGTCTGATCTTATGGAAGAGACACATGTTGAAATCAGGTCAGGTAATTGACAGCGGCCCCTCACAAACATTCCACTGTTAAGCTCTAAAAGCCCCGGTGGGTGTCTGTCTGTAAGTTTAAGATGAATGTGGTGCTGATGGACAAACAACAACAGATGCAAAATCAAGAATTAACAATCAAATGAAACACAACTCAAGAAACATATGAGCAGCCAATTAGAGTTTGACCCTGTAAAACTAGGGGGCACTATGTGTTAAGCAGGTAATTACTGCAAAGACCATAAATCTAAAGGTGCATCTTAGTACTTAAACCTCATGGTCATTGTTGTCGCTGTATACAGGATCTAATGCACTGAACATGGAGCCTATTTTGCTGAACCACGAACCAAGACACATGTTAATGACTACATATCGTGTTGCTGGTGTACCTCACTCAGTGAACTGTCTTTGGAGATGGGAGCACTGGAGGTCAGATCATACTAGGTGAACATGAAGTATGTAATGATACTGGAAAAGTTGATCCCAAAGGGGAAATTTCAGAAACACGTTCTATGGGCATGGTCGATAGCAGAATTCCTTTATTGAGAAAGAAATCTTTTTTTTTCTTTCATTTTTCAAATAGCAAAGCAGTGATCATGCATTGCACACTGGATATCTACCGAGAGAGGAATGCAGATCTGTATCTGTTTTGTTTCCCCTGATCATTTTGGGTCCAGGGATCAAGCATCTTTCAATACAGACTCACGGCTTTCCATGTTTTTAGAGGCTTTGATTTAGTCCACTGGACTCTTTTTCCTCATGTCTAGCTCTGCAACTATTCTCATTGCTTTCCCTGGTGGTTTGAGTGAGCCAATTCCCAGGACAACTTTGACAGGGATGTCTGGATACAGGGTTGGGAACCAGCACAACACCACGGTCCGAGACATCAGCTGTTGCTCCAACTTTATAACGTCCTGCGCAGCGCAGCGTTGCTCTTGGCCCTCTGCCCGGGTTCTCTCATGTTAAGCTTACATTCATGTTTCTCTCGAGCAAACAGTTTGCTGGTGCCTCCTGTGGGAATGATCGGCCCCTTTCTGTGGCAACTGTGGCCCACAGTGGTGCAATACCCAAATCTGTAGAGCGGAGACTTTAAAGGGTTTCATTTGTTCTTCCTTCAAGAGAAGATGGCCTTGCTTAATTGCTTTGAAACCCAATGCATGACAATATTATGATAGGTCAAATCAAACAGTAAACAAGCTTGCACGCCATGTTTTCAGAAATGTGGTAGATAATATCGTAACCGCTTGTATGGAGAGACTTCGACCATCTTGTAATATACCACAGGACAACTACAGAAAAAAGACAGACTCCACAAGGCTGGTGCCAAGGCTCGAATACTGTAATTTTGACACACACACACACACACACAGACACATACACACAGACACATACACACA